TGTTAAACTTTGATTCTGAAAATAAATGACCGCATTCATTTTGATGGGTCAAAGATAATAACGTCTCTCGTTACATTTCTGTTAAATTCAATGCACGACATTTACACAGTCAGAAAGATGAGGAACTCGTGAAAAAGTATGAAATATCCAGCATATGACATACTACATTTGGTGGCCCGTCCGTACGTTAGTACTACATTTGGTGGCCCGTAACGTGCTCATAAATGACTGTGTATTCGTGTGAAGATTTTTACATGTTGGCATAAAATAACAGTTTATCAGCTGTGATTGAACGCAGCGCGGTGAAGCTGCTGCACCGCCTGAAGTCAAAACGCTGCATGTTTTAAGCGTGTTGGTCTATGAAGCTCAGGAAGCTCACAGGAAGCTGAAATTAGTGTCATTGAGTCTTTATGAAAGCTGAAGTTGTACGCCTGTTATGGTAACTAAAAGCTGGGTTTTGTGGAAAACGTTATTCTGTTTAAACTGTGGTCCAAACGGACGGAGGTTCTGTTGGCCAGCTCGGTTCTGAAAAAGGTTCGGACGAGTTGTTTAAATAGTTAGAAAGACGTTTTTGAGACCGGAGTAGCAGACTCCGCACAGCTCAGAGTTGATTCGTTACAATTTTTAACAGAAAAAGTGCATTTTGACAGTTTAAAAGACGAAAAGTTGACGAATTTTAGTTCACGCTAATCTAACATGCTGGTGGCTGTGGAGCGCTCTGATTTGCTGAGAAGGTTGAATGACGTGCCTACGTAACTTCCTCTCAACCCTGCTGCTTTGTCATTGGTGATTTCAGTCACGTGACCCGGAAATGGAAACTCGTTTTCATAGGGAATAAAATCTGCTTTTTAAAGCTGAAAAGCGCTTTAAAGCTGTGTTCTGAAACGCTGTTTAGGTTCTTCGAAGTCTAATTGCTGAAATTTTGCCACGTTTGTGTAAAAAATCCGTTCAGAAATGTTGGTTTTATCCGGGTCTAGCCGATGCTAATTTTGAGCTAACAGCTACCGACCAGACGCCACAGGAAGTCATAGCGACCCCTACTGGACAACACTAACAGTGTCTGGGTTAAAATTAATAAGGTTGTACTGACACCTTCTGGATAAACGGAAGATCACAGGTTTTCACTTCGTTTTTAGGTTTAAAGAGTGAAATTAAACGTTTTTATTTTTCTGTAAGGCATTTTTGAGTAAATAAACGTTCCTCAAAGTTGAATAAACACTGTTATCTTGCATTTTAAAAGTTATAAAGGTATTTATGCAAAGAGCATTTACCGAACGCATTTTTATTCACTGATAATTCCTTAAAGAAGGTACAAAATAAAAATTAAAGCGAACTTTTAAAAAATAGAAACAGTTACAGATCTTCACAAAAATGGAAAAAGTTTACTCACTTGCTAAAAAGATAACGCACGTTTAATTGTTAAACTCACAAAATAAGAGTAAATACAACAGTAGAGAGAAACTTTTCTGATTTTATTTTACCACCTAAACATTTACATCTCCTATTTAATTTTTAAATAGCAGATAATGGAAGACGAAGAGGTAAACACTGACCCCTTTCAATCCAGAGATGCCGTCCAGTCGGCTTTACATATTTTAACAAATTCAATTATTGGTAAACAATTAGAGCAATTAGAAAACCTTGATGATGATCAAAGAAATGAGGAACTGCAGAGGTTGGCGGAAGCAGCCAAAGTGTCGGAGGACACAAAATCGAGCCGTGAACGCTTGGCAAAAATCTCCCTACTTCTGAAAGCGGAAGTGGACCATCTGGTTGAACAAAATGTCACGCT